GGACTGGCACCCCGTCCAGGGTGTACCCCAGCCCTGTGATGGACTGGCATCCCGTCCAGGGTGTACCCCAGCCCTGTGATGGACTGGCATCCCTTCCAGGGTGTACCCCTGCCCTGTGCCCCGTGATGCCTGAGGTAGGCTTCAGCCCCCTGTAACCCTGACCAGGATAAGTGGTTAGTAGATGAATGGGTATTTTGTGTTTTTTTGCTTTAAATCATCCATCTTTATAAATTCTATGTTAATGAATGTACACATTTTATGTTCGACAAATCACTTGTAGAATAGATCAGTGGGCTACAGCATAATCTGGAAAATTCTGGGATTACTTAGATGGTTGATATAAAAATTGCACAAGCATTTTTATTTGGGCATTTTTTAATCTATCAGTTTTTGATTTATACCAGTATATTGTGGCCAATATATATATGACTGTACTGCATGATTTGATGCTGATGCAAACCGGCAGGTACCTAGAAATACCCACTACAAGTTACTGAAAACTTGAAATGACAAATGTAATGGTTTTTGTTAAACTTTTAAAACTGATCAGCATCAATTGATTCACTCGGTATTTTCCTGCAGTTCCTGCGATTGCTACAGAAATCATGGTAACTTGAGGATGGAAACATGAGGATCTGATGGAAAGCCTGTCTTGAGAAGCAGATTCCTCAGTCCAGCAGTGTTAAGCTCAGCAGACCATCATAAGCAAGCCACAGACTAGTTCTGTGTCGCTGGTTATATGTAGCCAGCGTCTTGAACTTGATTGTGTGCCGTTTGTTTATTAGACATGAAAATCCGCTGAAGTCTTTCGAAACCCAGTTACCATGATTTCATTAACCATCAATAAGAATCAGTCATTTAGTATTATTTGTACCCTTTACTTTTTCTTTCTAGATGCAAGTAAGGATCAGAAGTATTAAATTCTAAATACTTAGTCAGTTGTCAGTTAGCATTGCCAAAATTGTCATTCTATCTCTATACACGTGGACAAGGCGCTATTACGTTATAAGATTACCTCCTTTTGCCCCGCAGTTCTTGTGTGTGCTCAGATGTTCTCACGTTTTCTGGTATGCCAGCTCTCCCTGAGCACAGTTAGCCAGCTCTCCCTGAGCACAGTCAGCCAGCTCTCCCTGAGCACACTTAGCCAGCTCTCCCTGAGCACAGTCAGCCAGCTCTCCCTGAGCACACTTAGCCAGCTCTCCCTGAGCACAGTCAGCCAGCTCTCCCTGAGCACACTTAGCCAGCTCTCCCTGAGCACAGTTAGCCAGCTCTCCCTGAGCACAGTCAGCCAGCTCTCCCTGAGCACAGTTAGCC